GGGGAGGGAGGGGAGGAAGGGCAGCGCTGGGGCAGGTTTCTTTCTCACACCAGGTTGCAAAGGGGGTTTCGGTTCCCTTTATTGCCCCCTCACTGCGTGCGTGCTCACCCCCAGCAAAGCCCGAGCACAGGCAGGTCTGCCTGCACCTGCCTGCAAGCGCAGGGGACGGGAGCTGCCCGATCCCCTCGGAAAGAGCCGGGTCCCCTGCCTGGGCTGCAGCTTCTTGCATCAAGGCAGCACCAGTATCCCAGTGATGAGCATGGACTGCCTGGGGAACAGCCCCGAGGATGTGGTTACCCGGCCCAAAGTTTACAGCCTGGCAGCAAAGGAGGAAACAAGGAGGAACAGCTTGGGACAAAGCAAGATGGGCCATTTCTGCAGAAATAATGCTGTGGATGGGGACAGGGAGGGTCGGGGATGGGAGGACCACCTGCAACAAAAATATTGCTGGCATGGCTCTTTGGGGCAGGTCTTATGTCCCTTTCCTTGCTGCAAACTTCTAGGATGCAAGACTTTGCCTCAAGGACTTGCAAGACTGACACTACAGACCTCAGTCTGCGCCTTTGTCCAGAAGTCACGACACTAAGACGCACAGGAATTAGGAAATTTGACACTTGCCCTTTCCTTGTAGATAAGTTTCGTAAATTGACCAAAAAAAAAAAAAGAACTGTAAAACTCTGGAAGAGGTTAGGCAAAAGGATGAGCTCCAGCCAAGCTCATTACAGCCGGGGCAGATTACAGTGCTCTCCCTGAGCAGGGTGTCATTTATTCTGATGGTGCCCTGAAAATATGTTCCCCTCAACAGTGGGCAGGAAGTGCCATCCCTGCCTCAAACTGCCTGCAGCTGAAACAGAGAAGCATGAAAGAGGCTGCGCGAGGAAAATGTTCAAGCTGATTGAAAGAATAGCAACCACTGGTTTCGAAGCACCTCCTCCTCTTCCTCTTTCAAGCCCCCTGCAGCCCCCGGCTGGCTCCTTCTAACCTGACCCCCCTCGCTCCCCTCCTCTGAGTCAGTCAGGGTATGAGATGGAACAAAAATAGAAATAGCTTGAGGGTAGGGGCAGATGTTCACAGCGCGTTTTAGTGTGGGTGTTGTCTTCACCTGGCCACCGCCGTCACGGCAGCCCGGCTCCTTCCCTTCTTCTGCACCCACCCTGGGAGGCAGATGGGCATTGCCAGAGCCGCTGTGTGGCTGGGTTAGACGTCCCCACATGCCGACGTGATCCCTGCTAGGCCTGGAAACCCACCATGAGAAGCATCGCCACAGCCGTGACAAAAGCCTTCACATCATCCCATGGCCAGGCCAAGTCCTCCCTTTTATTTTTTGCTAGGTGGGGAATCTGGCACAGGCAGGGGCGCAGTGACTTACTCCCGCTCACACAGGAAACCTCCAGCACTGCTTGAACACAACCTGCCTTTCCTGCCTCCCAGCCCCCAGCTTCAGGACCCGCTTCTTCCTCCTGGAGAAGCAGGCTGGCTCCCTCGGGGCTCGGCCTCCAGTAAGAGCCCAGCTGGCCAGCTGGTCCCAGTGCGGCACAGGGAGGGGAAGAGGGGCTGCGGGCAGATGCAAGCGCGCTCCCCTCTCCCGGGAGGAAGGAGGGGGCCAGCGCAGTCACACGAGAGCATCATTTCCTCTCAGGAAACCCAAGTGAAATGTGGAGGGGTGGGAAAGAGAGCTTGCCCCCCGCTCCTGGCTGAAGTGCTAGTCTGAAGGAGGGGGCAAATCATACCAGCCCAGAAAATAAACCCCGGGGAATACCCGAAGTTTGGCTTGTACTGACGGCAGGGTGTATATCACCAGACCTGACCTGCAGCTGACCTTCCTCCTTTTACACACCTGATGCTGAGCATCCAAACAACTGCCTTTCAGTAGATTACAGCTCTGCTTTTGTTTCTTAATGGAGTGAGTCATGACCACCTTTTTATTAGAAGAAAATAACAAGGCTAACAACAGCAGTACTAATGCTTCCTCCGCTGCAGGGTACTGGACACAGAGTGCCCCGACTTCTCTGCCCACCAGCGAAATGACTTGGTTGTACTTGGAAATAGATGAGCAATCGGGGCTGATGCTGTCAGGGCTGTGGGATGGACACAGATACTTTTCCCTGCTGGAGCAGCTCCTTCGTTCGTCAGGTGCTCCCAGCCAGAAAGGAGAAAGGGGCTCAATTCTTGTAAATGGAGATGGTTGAGCAACGTAAACCACCCTCCGCTTTAGGTAGGAAACTCCCCTCCTCCCTGCAGCACTTTACATCGTTCCCACTTAGTTTCTGCTGCATCTTTCTGCTCCTCCTCCCGCTTCCCCTTGATAATCTCCCAGGCTCTTGCGTCCTTTGTCTCGGGTTTTTATCGGGGCTTTCAGATCAGCTGGTCCTTTCCTTTTCTTCCAGGCTGTATTTCCCCTAACCTAGCTCATTCTTCCCTGCTCCCCTCCCCACCTCCTCCGGGCTCTTTGTTTCTGCCTTTTTCTCAATGCTGCAAAGGGAAACTTTCTCGCTGCAGCTGGGGACGGGTGGCCCCAGCTCCTGGGGGGCACAGCTGGATCCTCACCCCAGGTAAAAGCCCTCAGGGCACAGCATCCATTGGGGTAGCATCCAAAAGGCATTGCTCAAGAGCAAAGTGCTGCCTTTTGGAGAGAATAACACTCAAAAGGAGCTTTAAAAAGGGGCTTAAATGAATAAATGAACAGCATTTATTGGGAAGCAAAAGAGACAGGATCATTCAAGTTTCTAGGACTTGAGTTGCCTGTGCTGAGACAAGGGACGCCCTGTGCTAGGTGCTACAAGTGTGCTTGTCACCCCAAAGGGTTAACCTCAAGCCTCAGCAAAACCAAAGGTGAGAGAAAGCCAGCGAGGAGGAGCTCTCGCTGCTGGAAAGGAGACTGAGGGGAAGGCAGATCAAGGGTTTCACAGGAGATCAGTCAGAAAGGTGGTATAGAGGGTAACCTATACGCTGTGGAGTCCTGGTCTGGGGCTTGAGCTGCATCATATCCCTGCTGGGGCACAACCCTGAACCCGTATCCTCCGGTTAGTTGTGAAATGCAAGAAATTCCTCAGACGAACAAAGCATAGCACAAGACAGCAGAGAAGATGGGATGGCATTTCTTTAATGTTATTAAGTTTTCCATAACATCAGTTTCTAAATTTGGAGCGGCTGATGTCAAAACACTCAGAGCACAAGCAGTGAGATAAGTTTGTGCCGGTAAACGGAGAGCTGGAAGACAGGTAAATTTATACTCGGGGCTAAGGACAGCCGAGCAGTGGCAATAGGAGACTGTCAAGCTGAGACGTCATCAGTGTCATGACTTGGTCACTCTTGACAAAGTCTAACAAAACAGATCAGATCATGAACTAACAGCCAGGTTACGAATTTGTCTCAACCTGTTGTCAAAAGCTGATTTTAGAGGGTGAAATGTACTATCAGACGCAGACTCTGTGGCAGGACAACCATCCCCCTCACTTTATGGCCCCATAGATGTGATTTTGTGTTGAACTGGAACATTTCCCCCAAGCCTCAGAAAACTAATTTGGAGGAAATGAACTCTTTGCTTGGGCGTTTTCACTAAAAAAGAGTTCATACATTTTTCACTTTAAATCTACATTCTCTAACAAATCCATCATCATAAGTGACTATTCCCAAAGAATTAGAAAAAAAATGCACGCCACAGACTATACAATTAGGAGGAAACAACTGAATTTCAGTTTATTGTGGCCCCAGCATCTTTCAGCCCTGGTTTACGTTCCCAGCTCTGCTGCTGTAAAACAGAATTAAGCTAAACGGTGCGTTGGCTTGAATGGGAGTTGTCTGCGCTCAGCACTTCTGAAAATCAGGCTGAAAGGGAATCTCAGACTTACGTCTGATTTTTACCTGACTCATGCCTACGTGACTCCACTGACTGCTGCCAGCTGCTGTCAACAGCTGCTGTCAGGAGTGAAAGAGGAATAAACCAAACCTCCCATCTCCTTTTAGAAGCCACTGTTCTTTCTGTTCCACGAGCTGATGACGTAATCCCCGGTGCAGATGGACAGGTCATTTTTAAAACAGGGATTCCAGCTATCTGCACAATCAAGTTTCAATTTCTCCGCTTGCCTGGTATGGTCCAGAGCATCACAACCCATATTGCTGCAGCATTTGCCAGACCCAGTTATGAATGCAAAGAACCCATCTTCCCATTTGCAACCATGTACTATCCCTGGGGTAGATGCCGTAATTGCTTACATGGGAAAATGATTTGTGTAGTTAGTTGCCTTTAATGTGAGACAAAGCCCTTTTGTTCTTTTATCAACTTGCCAGTTCCCATTTGTTCTTTCCTCTTCCTGCCACTGTTTCCCCACACGCATTTCTTGCCTTCTCGTCCTGTCTCTTCCCTTCCCTTTTCCTGGATGTATTTCCCAGGAACCTGCTCCTCTTCCACGCTGGCAGATCTCCCCCTGGTAAGAGCCATCGTCAGCCTGGCTGGGTTTTTGCTCACGTGTCCCAGCTACTCCTGCCCATCCGTACCCAACCAGCCTCTCCTGCTGCCAATCCTAGTCCTTGTGGGTGGTTACAGCTTCTTTAGACTGCCGGGAGCCATCAAATGACAATATTCTTACACGTGCCATTTAATTGACTGTTAGGACAAGCATATCTTGGAGAAACATTGGTTACTTTGGTCCAGATCTTCTGGAAGCAAATCTTATCATCGCTGAATCCGATTCCCTCTGCCTTGGTCTTTCTGATTGACTCATTTCTTAAGCACCAGGTTGTTGCCTAGAGGCTATAATCACATAAATATAATCCACTGCGCAGTGCGTGTTACTGTGCCCACTCCATGGAGAATGAGTACAGCTCCTAGGTGCAGAAATGACTTTTTAAGTTCAAAGTAGAGCAGCTCATGCTTTTAGCTGAGAATGTTTTGGAGCAATTTCAGTGGGCTACACAGATATAAGCAAACAAAATGAACACATTCAGTACAAACCATTACACCTCTGTTTTCTATAGCATTGCCGGTAGCAGAAAAAAAAACCCACCCCACAGCCCCTGTGTGTTCTCAGAGGTCCCCAGGCACAGCACAGACAGGGCGACCAGTGGGTCATGACGCAGACTACAAACTCCCTCTCTTACTCCAGTACAAGCATGGCATTGCGCATCCCATGCCCGAAAAGCTTTTTACCCCACCTTTGCAAAGAGAAAACAGATCAAAAGCAGGTCTAGGCTTTGGTCTACCCTCTGGATAGCACCCTAGATGGTATTTCTGGATGGTATTTGGGTCTGCTGCAGGGTATCTAGAAGGCAGCTGAAGGGCTGACCAGTGGGGAGAGGCAACAGCTGGAGCCGGCGGGCTGGGGGAGGCTGTGAACAGCCCACCCCGAGCTGCGAAGGGGGAGATAAACCAGACCTCCTCTTTCACCAGCGGTAACGCAAGGCGTAATGGGCTTAAAGTGCAGGAAGGCACATCTGCTGTAGGTGGAGGGAAGCTTCTCGGTGGCAGAGGGTGCCGGCGCTGGGGTCGCTCGCTGAGGCAGGCTGCGGTTCTCCACCGCTGAGGGCTCCAAGAATGGGATGAACAAAATTCTGTCTGGAAAGACTTATGCAGAGTCGATCCTGCCCTGGGGTAGGGGTGGGCTGGATGAGCTTTCAAGGAGTCTTCCTTAAAGTCCTTGTTTTACAGGCTTGTGTGGATCACGTTCAGGCACACAAGTCTGTGACTTGGTAACTATCCTAAAATCTATTAAATGACAAAGTAACCTGAATTAATAACTTGATTAATTTCTTCCTTTTTACTGAACGTCCTTTCTGCTGAAGTTGCTCTATGGTTACTTCCAATGTTGTCTTCCTCCCCTGACATCTGAATCATCCAGAGGAGAAAAAAAATAATTTGAATTAAATATTTTTTTTTTCCCAAAATAAACCTAGTGAAATAAACTTGTAAAAGAGAGGAAATAATTTGCGTCTTTTATGTTCATTTCTCCTAGGCTCCTACTTACTTAACCCCATTTAAACTTTGTATCAGCTTATGACATCCGGTGAAAGTACACTACAGCTTATTAAAATTTAAAGCTGTTACTCCAAGGGAAAACACTGAAAGCTCTTTTATGGATTAGCCAAGTCGGCAGGATGTGGCTTCCACTTTGTATCCTTTTGATGGCACAGCCCACTTGAGCATCTTTATAAAATAAAACTTCCCCATCACTTTCAGCCCGTTACAGTTTTCATTCTGTGCACCAAAGTGTTTTGTGCCAGTAGGACTATGTTCCACCCCTGCATTTCACGGGCAAATTAGGAGGGTATCATACGCTAACCCTATAAAATACATAACTATACTTAAGCTGAAGTAAATGTGGAAGTAAATACTAACAAAAATGCCATTCATTTAAAAATAGGAAAGTTAAAAAAATTGGATAATAACCTGTCATGCATTTGCTCACCTTTTTTCTGTAGGAGGGGCATGATCTGAGCCCAGCAGGACCTGAGTGGTGACTTATACTGGTATTATCAGACACACAGCTGAACCAGTGCAGCGCCTTGGCTTCTCTTAAGTCAACTTTGTATTGGAAACTCTTCCCAATACAATGCTGCTGCTTATAGTACGAGTCTTCGCCAGAGTTTCTTACTGGCAGAAAAGAGCCCGTGGAGTGACATAGCTGATTTCCTCTGCAGATATGGCAAACCGCCTCTTGCGCAGGAACTCTTGCAACAGAAACTGCCTCGCCGCTCGGTTTGCAAACTGCTCCCCCGGCAAGCCCCTGTAGGTACAGACAAAGTCGTCTTTTATTTAGCTCACGTTCCTGGGAAAGGGTGCTCTGCTCTGAGAAAGGCTGTTCCTATACGGGCTTACTTTCAAATGAGCTCCTTCAGTTGATGCTGTGGCTCACACAAGTGCAGACAGGCCTTGGGTCCCCATCTCTCTGGTCCCTCAACTTCAAGTGCATTTAATCTCACTTCCTATGACTTCCTCCCTTAGGGCTTGGCGGCCTGGAAGAGGCTGATGTATCAAATTTAAAGGGGGGATTTCCAGGTTTATTAAGACTCTCTTGTTTAATTAAAAAGAAAAAATTTCAAAGCCAGGCTCTTCCCCCATCCCTTTCCAAGTTCCTCCTGGGAAATGCCCCTTTTGACAGGGACTGCTCGTGGCGAAGGATCTCTAGGGCTACCTTATAGCCTATGGCTACCAGATAGTCCCATTCGACAGTCCTGATGAGGTGAGTAACAGCCAGTCCTCCAGAGCAGGAGGAAAACGCTATCCCTATAAACTGCTGCTTGCTCCATCCCTCCTGCACCCAGAGGGTTCTGCTTCACTTTCCTTTGCTAAGTTATCCACAGAAAGGTCCCAGCTGAGCCAGAGGTCATCATGCTGGAGAGGCTGGACCATCCTGCACCATCTTTTCCTCCAGCTCCGGGGTGGGGAGTGTAACCTCTGGCCAAAGATCAGCATGGGGCCGTCACATTTCACACCACCGCAGATGTTTGCTGGGTGAGTGTGTGCTGGAGGCCTTACAAAACACGGCTTTCGGGCTGTGAGCTTTGGCAGTCTTTATTATTCATGAACTGTGAGCAGGGACTTCAGTCATACAGCATCACGCTGCTCTCTGCCTACATGCAGGAAAATCTAGAAATCCAGGGGAAGAAAGTGTTCATCAGTACAAACTCACCATCCCATCAGCATGCAACGAAGGGGGCATTCAGGCTGTTCTGGAAGCATCTGTGTAGGCAGAAGTCGACTCACAGAGAAAAGGGGTGGGAAGGGAACGGGGCTGAGCTGGGAAACAATTTGTCACTCGCCAGAACATTTGTCCAGCATTGCTCAGGGTGATACTGGAAGCCCAGTTTGGCAGGGGGTGGTGAAGTGACCCTTCATGACTGATGCTCAGCTCTCGTTCCCACCACTCTCCTCCTCCAGGAGTGTGGTACAGACATGCACATTCCCTTTCCTGCGCCCCCGGGACCTCTTGGGATCCCCCCCCACCCTGCCCCGAGAGGCAGCACTATGGGAAGTGTGGTTCGAGGGGCAGCCTCCCAGCTGGGAAAGCTGGTCGCTGGGACATGCCACCACCCAGACCTTAGCGGTGCTACTTTGGGAATCGGGACATCTGACACATATTCCACTGGCTGAATCACTGACAGCTTTCAGTTGTTTACAATACATCTCTTATCTACCAAGAAAGGAAAAAAATATTTATTTAGACTGATTTGGAAAGATCTTGGGTACCTGAACCCACGGGGCTTGGAGATAAGTAAAACAGCTTTGCCTTTAGAAACTGTTCCACCAAGAGAGGTCAGTCCTCAAGAAATTGGTCATTGCGCAGAGGTGGCGTTCCTGTCATGCCACTTGAGCCTACAGACAACAAGCTGCTGAAACTGCCACTCCTTTTTTTATCCTAGCAACCCCAGGAACTGGCTACCCGTGAACAACAACCAAAGCTTTTCCGGGAATAAAGCACATTTGTGATCTTGCTAGCTTAGTCCTGGGGCTGCACCTGGCACTGCGATGAGCTACAAATGCATGGTGACAGGGACTCTCTTTTCTATACCTATACCACACGGATAGCAGCAGCACCCTCCGTGCATCACGTGCTGCTAGCTAGCCAGAAATACCATCAGACCACACAGGTATCCCACTAAGAAGCACACACGTGGTGTGACACCTCTGAACACAAACCTCCAGAGGTAGGGAGGGAAGGCAGCCAGGGATGTGGAAGAGACAGAGCTTCCTAGGGGTTCCCTCTATCTGCTCCCTTCTTGTGGTGGGAAGGCAAAGGGAGAGGAAAGTCATAGCCACAGAAATGCAGCAACAGGATGAGACAGGCCTGGAGAATCACAACTCAGCATGTATTTTCCATATGGTGGCACCATATGGCAACTCTACTTTGTCACAAGGTCAGCATGACAAGACTGTCCATGCATTTTCTACCGGTGTGTTTAAAGAGGGGAGAAACCACCCTCACTGCAGCAGGGAGACCACAGGAGAGCTATTTACACCTTTTGGCAGTACCCCAACATCGTTCCCAAAGGCACGTTAAGTATCTGCTCTCCTTTCCCACCACCTGCCCAAGCCCTCTCCTCGAGGTGGCCTGGAGCCATGCAGAGCTCCTTGCAGGGGCCACGAGCAAAGATATGAGTCCTCCCTGCCTAGGGCAGACCTACGATAAGTTTGGGACAGACTTTTCACTGTGGGATTTCACTCTGATCCACACAGGTTAGGCTGTCGTTTCCAGAGGGTTCAGCTTGACCAGCTCACACTTTGGACCTTCTTTGCCCTTTCCGAGTGACAGCTTTAAGCCCAGAGGGATGAAACGATGTGTCTGCTTTGTGCTGGCCATGCACCCCGGTGTGGCGTAGGCGGCTGTATTTTAAGATAATACCCAGGCTGTAAAAAAACCCAAACAGGTGAGAGGTAGATGTGTCTGCTTCTGCTGCTCTTGCTGCAGGGAGAGAAACCTGCAAGATGGAGATGGCACAGACACCAGGGTGCCCAAAGGAGCAGCAGGTAGGCATCCTTCCTTCGTTTAACACTCACCTTCACACAATTTAGATCAGGCCCCAGGGGCTGGTGCAGGAAGGTGTTGCGGGGCTCAGCCTCCTCCCTACAGCCTTATTCTTTAACAAGAGGGCATTGTCCCTGCCTGCGGGAAGCCTGGCCTCATGATGCTGGGTAGGACAAAGGCTCGATTTTTCCAGCTCCCGTGAAAGCGCTGGAAACCAGGACGGGGCTGGAGGCAGCCAAAGCCCGCTCTCCCCGTCTGAGACACTTTGGATTTTGATGCAATGGGGTGATCAGCTGTGGGCATGAGTGAGCGG